TCGCGGTCACCTTTACCCCTTCAGTTGGAGCATCAGGTCCAACTTCCAGATCCGCATCCAGTGCCGTCTGCTTGAGACGGCGCCAGAAGCAGGCACTTTCCTCATATGGACCCTGAGTGAGCTTCATCATGTCCGTAGTAGAGGTAGCACCATATATTTCTGGAAGCTTTGCCTTTAGCTGTGCACAAAACTCTTTGCCCCCTGAAGTCATCTTCTCATGAGTGGTTATAGAGCACCCTGCAATCACTGCACTGGCCACTTCCATGCCCACCTTTTGCCCGCAGGATCTGCGCACAATCCGACCCGCTCATACCATAGCTGAACTGGTTTTGTCCAAACATTCGAGCAAATCTTCTCGGATTGACCCGATAGTCCGGGAGCTCAGCCAGAATAGTGCAGATCTCTGCCGGGGTGAAGGGGACATGCCAAACTACCCGTTCCCCTAAGGTCCGCTCCCCCTGTGCATTGGGAGGACCTTCAAATTGCTGCACCCTGACTGGATAGGCCTCGGTCCGGGAAGAGTGAAAGGGCTGGCCCAGCTTCATCGGTGGGCTTAGATTAACCACCTCGCTTACTGCACCTTCAGGTTTGAGGTCCCTCAGATCAGGGTATTGCTGGGGGGCAGGGGTCTGATCAGCGGCTCGTAGCGCTTTGATGCAATCCGCCCTGTTTCTTAACCGGGTGTCTATACCCCTTGATTTGCAGATAGTCTGCAAATCGGCTGTTGAGAAGACTTCGTAGTTGGAAACAGAAGGAGCTGGGGTGAAGAAGGGAGAGGTAGAGGCTGAGGCATAGATACAGAAGACACGGAAGGTACGTCAAGAGTGATGTCACTAGCAGAAGAGACAGGTGCAGTTATACTTATCTCAGCCACTGTTGGTTGTTCGTGAACCCCAGCAGACCCTGATCCTGCCTGCCTTAGTAGAGTCAGCCCTGAAAGAGCTTCCTCCACCTCTGACATCGGATCCTCCTGTTTTAGTCCCTCTGGAGGCCAGGTATACATCACCTGGTTCTTCCGGACAGACACCAGTTTTTGTATGCCCTGCTTCCCTAATTGGATTGACCTGTGAAGCCATAGCTGTGTGATCTCTAGTTCTGACGCCTGCATCCGTGGTTCAAATTCAGAGATGAATTTTTCCAACCTCCATGCGTCAAATGTACCTTTCCAGGGTATTGGTACCCTTCGACCATTTATTCCATCTTTTAAGGGGCTCTGTAGACTCCCCCCCCCCCCCCCCCCCCCCCCCCCCCCCCAACTCATCCTCATCAGTTTAAAGCTAAAGGTAAACAACTTAACAACTTAAACCAAGCTTTTGATTAAAGGCGGTAGCGTACCCAGAGCTAGATGTGCTGCCCTCGTGGGCAACCCCCCCCTTGAACCAAAAGGAATTAACGATGGAATAATAAAAAAATGCAAAACTGTAAAAACTGTAAAAATTTGGATTAAAACACAATGTGGGTTAAATGCATATAGAAAATTGCATGGAGATTACTGAAACTCAAAGCGAAACTCGCAAAACCGTGTTCACGAGTGATTAAAAAACAAAATGGCGAAGAAACACATGGCAGTCACAAAAAAATGGCCACCAACAAAGAAAACCCTTGCGACACTAGCCTCAAAATTGCCTCTGACCTCTTACATAAAACAAACTTTTGGACAAAGCATACACTGGACAATTACACAGCAATATACAGTACACATACAGTGGGGCAAAAAAGTATTTGGTCAGCCACCAATTGTGCAAGTTCTCCCACTTAAAAAGATGAGAGAGGCCTGTAATTGGCATCATAGGTAGACCTCAATTATGAGAGACAAAATGAGAAAATAAATCCAGACAATCACATTGGCTAATTTGGAAAGAATTTATTTGCAAATTATGGTGGAAAGGAGGTATTTGGTCACCTACAAACAAGCAAGATTTCTGGCTCTCACAGACCTGTACCTTCTTCTTTAAGAGGCTCCTCTGTCCTGCACTCATTACCTGTATCAATGGCACCTGTTTGAGGTTGTGGACAGGTGTCTTTTATACTGATAACAAGTTCAAACAGTCACACTCCAAACTCCACTATGGTTACCATCCTGCTCGTAATGTAACGTTCCCTCTTACCTATACTGAAAACCAGTTAAAACCAGTACACCCACCCCCCCTCCATGCTATCAGCTCCTAGCAGTATGTTCATTGTCTGTACAAGCATCCCCTAGATTAAACAGTGCCAGTCTGTATCTGAATGGGCCCGATACGATCTTTATTAAAACGCATCCATCCAGATACAGTTCAGGTCGGTAGCGGCAATATATACATTGTAAATGTGCATGGCCTAATTGCAGCCTTCAGAGCTTTAATTAAGCCACATGAGAGACATATGAATAACACGAATATATGACACATTTTAAAGTTCAACCTGTAATAGAAAATTTCCATGACACCCCTCCCTCCTAGATTGTAAGCCCCAAGGAGCAGGGCCCTCCTATCCCTCTTGTATTGAACTGTATTGTTGCTGTGTTGTCTCCCGTTTATATTGTAAAGCGCTGCGCAAACTGTTGGTGCTATATAAATCCTGTACAATAATACGAATATGAGCTTATGATGAATTTGGTTATTGGACCAATATAACTGCAATTCATTCTTTTTTGTAACGCCTATGTTGAGGGTTAGGCCCAAAAAAGTTTTAAATTCAGAAACACTGATGGATTTCCATGCAAATTTTCTGACGAGTTGAACTTGGGTGGGGGCGATGTATTGTGCGTATAAATTGCTTTGACCCACAATTGATACAAATCTTCTGTGAAAAACTGCGGAGGGGCTAAACGCTAGAGCTGGCAGCAAATAGGGCTGGTCCTGCTATCACTGGTTTTTGGGACACTATACAAAGCAGGCACTAGTATAGTTCTGTTTGTGATCAATATATTGATCTGTACAAACCCTATACTAGTAATCGCGGTGATCAGCAACCTATAGTGGCTGGCAATCTAACGCTAGCTGACCCTGGCTGGAAGGGGTGCTAACTGACCCTGATGCTGTCTGATGTCGCTAGTGGCAGTAATCGTGATCAGTGAAAAATTCTATATACTGACATTGATAACCCCGGCACCCAGCCAGTGCCATTAGTACAAAGGATTAATAGGGCAATCAAAGAGTTAAATGTGCTAATCTAACGTGTGCATGTAAAATGCAGTGCTTTAACTCCGTACCGTGTTCTTTCTTCTCTACCTGGACGGCATAGGGGGCAGCAGGGGCCACACACATGCACACCCGGAAATAGTGATGTAAGATTATGTCGCTTTGCCCAGAGCTGCTGCTTGCCTGCACATTGTGGGTGGGTGGTAAGTAGTTTAGAAAAAATGGAGAATTTTTTTTTTCATTTTTTTTTTTTAAAATACTTTCATCAGAGTAGTGCAATGTTACCATAGTAACATTGTACTACTCTGGGGGATGATCAGGGATTTTTTTTCTTTTTTTTTTTTTTTTGCAAAGCTTGCTTTGAACTGTTATGACTGTTCAATATAATAGTGATTTGTGATTGGCTACAGCTGGTCACATGGTACAGTGTGCTGTGATTGGACCCATGTGTCATGTGAGAGCTTTGGACCAGTCACAGCTCTCCAGGAACAGAAGCAAAGCTTTTATGAATCAGATTGATTCCTAAAAGCTTTGTTGTCATTGTGATCGCCGTTTCCCAATTACCAGGATTCTCATTCTGCTGTATCCGGTGGACACAGCGGACGTGGGGGGGAGTGTGACATGCCCACCTGTGTTGGCAAAAGACCGACGTACAGGTGCGTCACTGGTCTTGTATCTGCCGCCCATCCGCAGATACAAGACAACCGAAAGTGGTTAATTTCTGAACTTATTTGTGTTGGTTTCTTTGTATGTATGGGTTGTTACTGACGTGGTGAAAAATTCAGGTCAGTAGCACCTTTTAGAAATCTGTTTACTGAGAAAAATTATGAGATGTTCAATACTTTTTACCTGCTGTATGCTGACTAAACTATTTTCAGACTGCTCCAATCTGGTCATTATCTGACCTGTGAGCCAGCAGCATATGCTGGGGAGAGGAAGGAGTGCCAGCAACCTATGGGTGACATAGGTTTCACCAGTCGTCGCTGGGCGCTCTCACCTGCAGCTGCCATTGGGTGACATAGGGAAGATCACATGACTGGGCTGGGGCAGACTGAAAATGGGTAAATACATTTAGAAACCATTAACAATAACAACAAACCTTTAGACTTTAGAACCACTTTAAAAGAGTGGTTCTAAAATTTTGCGCTCTAGTGGTCTGCCTTTTTGCACTATCATGTGTAGAATGTATAAATTTATTTCCAGAATAAATTCTGATTCTAGGTAGAATGTTGTATGTATGAAACTTGGATTAGATGCCCTTTATTGCCCTTTCTTGGTCTACTGTAGATTACAACTTGGGGAACTTTTTAAATTACAGACCTTTTTCCATTAGATCATTTGATCTATTTAAAGTAGAATTCGAACTTTTTGGTCACTTTAAATTTGTTTGGGAAAGGCTGAACCAAAGAAACTATTTACATTGCTAAGCAATGCAGTAACTAGGTGTGCTGTAATAGCTACATATATAGTAAGTGGCGCTGAGTTTCAGTAGTACACGCAACTTCCCAGCTACTGCTGAAATTAAAGCTGTATTAAACTAAAAAAAAATATACTGTAGCAGTACCCTCTAGCCTATACATACATTGCTGCTGTCCAAAGGTGTCTGCTTTGCTACTTCATCTAGAATTGAGACACCCTTTAACAGTAAGGGTATTACTGGCTCAACAAATGCAGCCATCATATCTAAGAATTGGTAAGCCACCATGTAATATATTTTTGTTTTTGGGTTTAATACTGCCGTACCATTAAGGAGAAGACTTGTATTAATGAATACATGACTTCCTCTGATTGGCCACGGCGGCAAATAATGATTTTATTTAGATTGATACTGCTTGTTTTTTATTTTATGTTATAAATAAGCTGTGTTTCTTTATTCAGGCTCGAATATTGATGAATGCCAGAACAAGCCACCCTCTGACAGTTTATTACCCAATAACTACACCAAGTCCAATGGTAAACACGAGGATGCGGAACACTCTTTTCCAGATTCTGACAAACCAGAATCCAAGCTTTCAAAGGAATTGCAAGAAAGTCCAGTAAAGAAACAGAGCCGAAGCAGAGTGAAACTGGCAGCCAACTTCTCCTTCGCACCTGTTACAAAATTGTAATATGTCTGCAGTTCTTTACTTGGACACATGAATTCCAGCATATTCCATCTGCAAAACCTTTCCAGGCTGTAGACTTACTTTTGGTCCTATACCTTTCTATTTAATATGCTGCTCCAAAAGCTTTTATTTTTTAAATAAGGTATAATAATGATCCTGATCTATAGTTTTTGGAAAAGGTTCCTGTGAAAAAAAAAATATATTTTTATTTCCCCAAAGCCTCATTATAAACATCATCCCAAATTGTAGTGCAGTTTTTTTGTACTGTAGATTGTTTACAGCCAACTTTTCAGACACTATTGCTCTTCGGTCATGATCCTTCTGCAAGGCATCTAGTTAATTTTCCTTCATTTTTTACATGGTCCTACATATTTTATAATATGGATAAAATCCCTAATTTTGAGATGCTATTTTTTTCCATTACTCCCATGCATGGCACTCAAGGGAATGGAGTTGGGACAATGAGTTCAACTTTTTGATTGTACAATTTTAGTAAACATCATTATGTTGTGTACAAGTCTAAAATAATCTGTTTTTCCTGTTTCAGGTGACTTGTAAGAACTTTGGATCTCCCCACCCCCACCCCATACAGAACAGTTCAGATTGAGGGTCTGATTATCCAGTTCTTTTTGCAGTGGCAATAATTTAGGATGAGTTTTTTGTTTGCATGCATGTCCTTTCATATGAAGCCACTTGCTTCTGTTCCTTTTGCAATAGAGTTCCGAAAGTCAAATGGGATTTTAGTTAATTTGCATCAAGATAATAATGACTAACTTGTTAATGCCTTACGGAAAGCATGAAACTTAACATAAGGAAAAGTTTCTCAGTTCCTATCACTGATATGCATTAACTGCATATATCGTGGATGAAGGAGTTGTAGCTTAGTTATCTTTTGCAGATGTTGCCATTTCCACTGAAAAAAAGGTGGAAATGTCAAGGTTTCACTTTATTAACCTTGAATTGGATTGTTATTTTTTTAAGATATGATAGATGAAGGGGATGTAATGCTTTTGGTGGGATGGTATATGTTTGTCTTTTTAACTGTCTGTAGATGTTTTTAGTCTGATTGTTTCATGGGTTTTGAAAACCTTTGTCAGTTTAGAAAGTATCTAGTGGTTTTTGGAAAAAAGGCCATACTTTGAAGAAAGCTGATGGTATTGTTTGATGGATAGTATCAGAAGGCCTCAGACTCCTTCTAAGCTAACCTGGCTTTTACAATGGGTTGTATCTGCCAGGCGAGTGGTGGTTCCTTGTAGAGCCTTTCGGCAAAGGTTCTATACTTGTTTTGGGTTCTTTGCAATGTACTTGAAAAAGAAGGAAAACTCCCAATCAATAGCCATCTAAATGAAAATGCTTTTACAAAATGGCTATTATGTTATTTTACCTTCTCATTTTGCACAAGAATCTTTTAACTGTGGCCATTCTCAGCAGAAAGTTGTAAGTATTGGGTAGATGTAGGTTTTTTGTTTTTGTTTTTTTTTTCTGTTTTTTCTCCTTTTCTTCTGCACTTCTTAGCTTGAGTCGTTGCTAAAGGCATTTCTTCTAGTCACATTTGGTGGCGGTTCAAAACGTGAAGTCCAGATAAGTGGGTTTTTGTGGGTTTTTTTTTTTTTTTAACTGTTTTTAAAATATACTTTACAGTGTGTAAGCAACCAGTTTAACCTTGTTCATGGATTTTTTTTTTTTTGTAATTTATATATTTATATCAGATGAACACAAATTGTAGGAAGTTACCTGTAATCATTTATTTTCATACAAGTCACCTGAAACACTGTGGTAACATGGTTAGAAAAAAAAAAAAACTGGGGGAAGAAAGGTAATGTCATGTCTCTTGCAATCAGACAGCTGTCCTTTTTCTAGTGCCTGTAAAACAAACATAAAAGGAAAAACCAGGTTATGACAGCATAGAAACTTTGCATTTGGCCCAGTTTTTTTTTAGATGAGGCCCTGCAAAGTCCTTGCAGTGTTGACAAGTGCTCTTTGTAGCACAGAGCTTATTTTATGCTTGTGATGAAAACTGGTATGGATTTTTTTGCATAAAATTCTTTATGTAAGATAACTTGTTTGGTATGAATGTTATCATGCATACTACAGTATGAATTTAAAGTGTTTGTTTTTTTTTTTTTCAATTTAAACTTTTGCATCAAATTCATTATGAGGCTGAATAAAACATTTTTGTAGCAACATTTACTTTATAAAAAAAAAAGAAAATATATTTAACCCTTTTGTGGAGGCAAGTTAAGCTGTCAGGGCTCGAATGAATGCACTGTTTTGTGTAAGTTGTTTTTTTTTTTTTTTTTTTTTTTTTTTTTTTTTTTTTCCTTAAGTCTCAATAAGTCACTTTATGATTTGGGACCAAATTCTTGTGTGTCAATAAACTTTAAACTGCAAGCATCCTGATGCATGGTTGTGTGTTAAGAAGCTATTTTACCAATAGACCAGCCGGTATTCTAAAATTCTTATTATATACTTGTGCTCTCAGGTTTGCACACCCTGACAGAAATCATGACATTTTGGCATTGATATTAAAAATGACTGAACATGCTAAACAGTTTTTTTTTTTTTTTTTTTTTTTTTTTTGTTTAACCAATTCAATACCGGGCATTTTACCCCCTTCCTGCCCAGGCCATTTTTCAGGTTTCAGCGCTCTCACACTTTGAATGACAATTGTGCGGTCATACAACATTATACCCAAACTAAAATTTTATCATTTTCTTCACACAACTAGAGCTTTCTTTTGGTGGTATTTAATCACCGCCGGGGTTTTTATTTTTTGCTAAATTAACAAAAAAAGAACGAAATTTTAAAAAAAACATGTTTTTATTTTTTTCTCTTATAAAAGTTTGCAAATAAATATTTGTTCATAAATTTAGGCTAAGATGTATTCTACTACATGTCTTTAGTAAAAATAACCCAAATTAGGATGTATTTTTTAGTTTGTATTAAAGTTATAGAGTTCACAAACTATGGGATATATCTGAATATTGATCGATTCTGAATTACTGACAGCCAATCTAATTTCTTGAGGTCCAAGAATGTCAGAATAGTACAGATCTCCCCTAAATGACCCCTTTTTGCAAAGTAGACAGTCCGACGTACTTCATAACAACAGGCATGGCGAGTTTTTTGAAGTTGTATTTTTTTTGTCATTTTTCAGAAAATGAAAAAATAAAAAAAATTATTTTCACTACTTTTTTTTTTTTTTTTTACATACGGTCACCAGTGCAGTACAGCGTCATCATATAACTGGCATGGCGGTGATCAGGGACAGTGACTGGTGACAGTGTGAAAAAAAATATATATATTTTTATTTTTTTTTTTCATTTATTTTAAATGTTTTATTACAATTTTTTTTCCTTTTTTAAAGATTTATTTTTTTCATAAGATTTATTTTTTTCATATTTCACTATGTCCAAGGTAGTACAATGTTACCATAGTATCAGTATTTTTTTTTTTTTTTTTTACACAATTTGCTTATAGCAAAGAATTACTTTGCTATAAGCAAGCATTTACCTTCAGGTGACATCGTTTCATTCAGGTTTTTTTTTTTTTTTTTTTTTTTTGTGTTTAGCTGTGATTTGGCCACAGCTAATCACATGACGTGCATGTGATTAGCTGCGACCATTCACAGCTAGACACTAGTATACAATGGATGGCATGAATGAAGCCATCCATTATATACAACTGTCATGTAACCTGCTGTGATTGGTCACAGCAGGTCACATGGTACCGGCAACGGGGCCCATACTCAGATCTGTCATGGGCCGTGTCCGAGGTACTCGGACGATGACAGATCGCGCCACTGCGCGGCTCTGCAAGTGCGCGAACTGCGCATGTGTGGGAGTACGCCATATGGCGGCCTCCTGGAAAGCTAGTGCATTTTTACGGGCGCCATACAGCTATTGGCCGGGCGTCAAATGGTTAAGGATAGTGATCATATGAAGCCATTTATTATGACAGTTTGGCTCCTTTTTAAATCATAATAACAGAAATCACACAAATAGCCTTAATCAAACATTTACATACCCTGGAATGTTTGGTCTTTGGTACAGACACACAAGGTGACATGCACAGGTTAATATGTCAAAGGTTAATTACCCACATCTCAGAAAACATATAAACAGCGCAAATAAATACTCAAAAGAATAAATGATAAATTCAAAAAAAATCATACAAAATAACTTCTAATATATATAATATTAATTGGATAGTCCCACTCCAAAATAATTTTTGAGATGAATATGGTGAGTAGAGTGAAATTGAAAGTCCTTATTCCAAGACCCTTGAACCGTGTTCACACCCGTTTGTGCTAAGATCACATACCGCATTCACCAGATATTGGTGAAAAAAGCCTTAATTATGGGTTCTGGAATCCTAGACCCCATCAACTCAGCCTCCAATCACCAGGTTTAGGGGGAAATCCCCCAATGCAGGTATAGATATATGCCTCAGAACTCCAAACCGTAGTTAAAATCAGCCTCTAACTTCCAGGACCACCAGAGATCACTTGCCATAGAAAGATGATTGGTGCAGACAAAAAAAAATGTGTATAGTGTAATACTGCAAGACTCAAACAGGATGAATGCAAATACCAAACGCTGGCATGCCGGCGTGTGTTCCACTCACCGGAGGTGACGTGGTGCATTGGCCAGCGAAGCGTTTTGCCCCTCCTCCATGGCGTTTTCACACACAACACTATTACGGTCCTCATCCTAGATATAGTGAGTATGAGATCCTCCCCCTTATACTGGATTGGTCAGATGCTAATACTAAACCAATTCAGCTGTCAGCTATTGCTAATGCGGGATCCTTTTACAATACATATTGCATAGATCGATTGAAATTCCAGGACATCTCCCATCTCAACAGCAATGCAAAACCATTACCTTTTAAAGCTTCACTATATAACAACAATACTCATTACAATTATTCACAATATTTAAAACTGCAGTTTACTGAAAATCCTTATTCTAAAATGTGTTACCCACACTGAAAAATGTCAA